AGGTACACTGGTTTTGTTTAATCATGTCTGGTTCCACATGGGGCCTATTTTAGGGGTGTGTTTGTTTGAAAGAAAAAAAAAACTGAAAGAAATGATGAACTCATGAACCCCATCCCTGAAGGTCCCCTCAGATTATCATCTGAGAAGAGGTTAAATTGGGTTTTAATTATTGATTGCTATCAAATCCTTGCCTTGTTAATTGCGCAACTCCAAAAAAATGACTAAAGGATAAATTTTATACGCCGTAAGTATTACCTAAAATTTGAGGTGTTTTTTGTTTAAGTTCTGAAACATTAATTTTTCTTGGAAAAATAAACTTGATCGAGGCTTTTTCCGCTAAAAAAGATAGTAGTCTGTTTCCAGCGTAGTTGTCGGGAATCAACTCTGTAAGTATTACCTAAAATTTGAGGGTTTTTTTTATTATCTAAGTTCCTAAACTTTAATTTTTGTCGAAAGTAAACTTGATTGAAGCTTTTTCGATATAAAAAAAAGAAAATTTTTAGCCCCATTAGGCCATTACCAGCCATTTTTTGGTCACTGTGATTACTAGGATGCTCATTTGGACCAAACTTTTTCTATCCATCCAAACTTGCCAAAATTTGTTACTACTTGTATATGGATTTGCACCTTTTTTTATATGTATCTTAGGTTTATCTTTAAAAAAAATATGGATGCACATTTATTATGTATACTCCTTTCACTTGGATGCTCAATTTTTCATTTTTCTTTTTTTTTTTTGGTTTTTCTCTTAAAATAAGCTACTCATTCTTTTTAAAACAAAATTGGGTGTGACATATTGTTTCTTCTTATTCAACCATAAATTTTATTAACTTTTTTTCATAAATTTTGTGATAGTAAAAAGGTTTAATTTAAAATAAAAAGTGTATGTGTGACAAATTTGACAATTGACACAATACTTGACGAGGCTGGAAAGTGCATCACACGTGATCTGTTTTACACCTTAAAAGACCAATGCCAACTCGTTTTCCAACTTCACTGTTTTTTCACTTATTTTACTCTTTTACCCTCCAATAAATTTATTCCCTTTTTCATTTTTTAACTGTCCCAAAGTAATTCCTTTTCTTTTTGAAAAAGGATTATATAATTTTAAAACAATTTTTTTTAAAGACTCTTTGTCAAAAGTCTATAAAGAATTTGGATATGTGAAACTGTATAACATAAGTTGCCCGGGGCATGCCAAAGTCAAACACTTGGCCGCCACAGCAACTAGTAAAGCGCTTACTAAACGGCGTTGCTTTGCAGTCAATGTGGACCATTCTTTCTTTCTTTCTTTGTGGAAATGTAGGAGTGTTTGAATTGTTTGAGGCCCATAAATCATAATAGTGTAAATTATATACTCTCTCTCCTCCGTCTAAAAATAATATTTTCGTTGCGTGTTACGATGTTGTCTACAGTTATTTTCAGATCATTTTATATGAAAAAATGCATGGAATTGAAAAGGAAAAATTACATATTTAAAAACTATATAAAAAAAATCTACAAAATTAGAGGTGACATGTCTATATCATTTTATCAAATGGGTAACAAAAATACGCCAACAAAGTAAATAAAGTTTGACCTCATGAATACTGAACGAGGACATTATTCTTGGACGAAGAGAGTAGATCCTGCAAGATATTACTCCATTCAGTTTTAGAAATATTTTCTTGTTGCGGGTTAGAAGATGTTTGGTTAATGATATTTTTAATTTTCATTTATTTTTCCTTCAGTTCTAAAAACCTTTCCTATATTGATTTTTTTGGTAAAAAAGATACACTATTTGACCATAAATTGCGATAAAATTATATTTAATTATAATATAAATTTAATATAATTGGGTTAGTCTTATGATATACCAAATTTTATATCATTTAAATTATGTTTAATATGTAGTGAAAGAGTGTCGCTGTTAGACCAAAAAAAGTCAAAACATAAAATGTTTTTTTAAGAGGGAAGGGACTAGTATAAACATTGTAACGGCCAGATAACTATTCCGTTTTAAATGTCTATGGGCGCATAGCATTCTCCATTCACACTTGTGCGTACATCTAAACCCCATGAAAAAACAATTGTGATAATGAAAAGACAGAGTGACAGACTAATCATATATGGGTTTGGTATTAGGTAAATCCGAAAGTGGGCTTCGTAAAATTTTAAAACCCCCAACGGACTTTAAATGGGCTTGTTCTCCCTTGGTTTTAACGAGGGAAAGGAGCGTAAAAAAAGGGGATGATTTCAATCCTTCCCTCTCTGTCATGTCAGTTTTAATTTATCTCAGTGGAAATTGGTTTGAAGTTTCCCGAAATTTCAATCTGGAGTCTCAAATCTTCATTTTTCACATTTTAAATACACATCTTCTAAAATTAACTACTAGTCGCGAAACAACGAAAAATGAGAGCTTTCTTTTCATCATCAGATGAAGATGATACCATTTTTCTAGTATTTTGTAGATAGAATTAAAAAAATAGAATATAATAAATTATTTGAATAATAATTTTTTAAAGAAAGATGATAGATAGAAAAGGGAGAGATTTGTATTTGTGTTGAATCTTTTTTTTAAAAAAATTGGTTGAATTTATAGAAAAGGAAAAATTGGTTGAATTTATATAGCCATTGAAGGGATGGAGGAAGTGCGTCAAATGTTTGACGCATGGTGACCGGAGTAATGCTCTAGAGGGGTGGTGTTTAACACTGTTTCAGCGTCAAAAGGCCGGTGACGCCCCCCAGCATTACCGGCATTTCCATTGCTCTAAATTTAGAATCCCTCTCTTCAAATTGTGTTCTTTCTATTAAATTGATTCCAAAGTCAAAATTAACCTAGGAATGCAATTAAAGAGTGTGAAGAGTGTGTTAAGGTCGGGACGGGGTGGGGCGTTTATGGTTTATCGGATGGTAGAAACTGTCAATTTTATAAATGTGGTACCGGAGCACCTCCGGATAATCGTCTGCCACTTTCCGCATATCACTAACAATAACCATTTCATATCTTTACAAACAATTTCATTTAAAATTTGAGATTCCCGACCACCAAAGGTATACAATGACTAGCAAGTCAAAAAACCCCATAAAATATACATGAAAAATATCATATTATACTAGAGTTAATGCTCAGGAATACTAAAGAAAGACGTCCAGAGAAATGAAATATGTCTCGCAAAATTTTTCTCAACTAAACATATTTCTTAATGCTATTAAAACATTTATAATACAGTATCCATTCATTCCTTATCAACATAATAAACTAAATTTAATTATAAATTTTTAACTTTTCAATTTTTTTAATACCCCGGAGTAAAATACAGAGTAGATGATCGGTTTTTGTCTATTTCGACTCCGTTTTGCTCCGTTTAATTTCAATCCTACCGTCAGTCGGTTTCTGTTCATATGCCCTTTTTTTTTAATTTTTTAAATTTATTTTCTGTTCTGCTCCCAAATAATAGAATCACGAGTTCACCCTTTTTATATGGATACAGACTTCAATTTTCATATGCAATCTCTCTCTCTCTCTCTCTCTCTCTCTCTCTCTCTCTCTATCAATCCATTTTTTCAGGTTAATGACTTTCTGCATTTGATCTCAGGTTTGGTCTCCTTTCTCATCTGGGTCTCTGTTGAATTTCAATTTTATCTGTTCTATAATTATTGATTAATTTATTTTATATTTGTGGGGATTTAATTTTCTTGTGAATTTCCCCTGATCAGATCTTTCTTGCGAATGCCAATGTTGCTTTCTCACATTGAATCTGGGTTTTATTTGATTTTTTTTTCTTTCTGTGAATTCAATTTTTGATTTTTTTTTCCCCCACTTTTTCCTGTGTCTTTGGATTTGATATTCTCGGGCGTAGATTGTAGAATCTATTTGTAGCTCATCACTTCTATTTATAGTTCGAATAAAGAGGGAAAAAAAAGAATGGTTTTGGAATTCCATCGCTAGATCCATTCTTTTTTTGAAGCTTTCCCCAGATATTGGATCCCTTTTTTTGGGAATTTT